AAGCTTAGAGAAGGAGTGGTACGTAAGAAGGAATAAAGAATTCTGGTTTTGACATATTCTTTTAAGCTTCCTGTTAGATATCCAAGTGGTAATGCTAAAAGTAGATAGAGAAATAAGAGAGTCTAGAGTCCAAGGTACATAGTCAGGCAAAGATAGAATGGTTTTTGTCATCAGAATGTGAATGATTTTTTAAAGTCATACAAGTGGCTGCTATCTCCCAGAGCAAAAGAGACCGAGGGGCTGAGCACTGGGGCACACTCTTGTTGAGGATAGGAAGTATGTAGCTGAGGAGACCAAGAAAGACAGTGATCATTGAGAAGGAGGATTACCAATGAGAAGTGAGCAAAGGGGAAGCGCGCATGCCCAAGGCTTGCCTGCTAGTAGCACGACAGGAAAGGACCTGAGAGAGCTGTCTTGGTTGGATCCTTAGTTGCTGCTAAGATCAAGTACTGAATTATCTGTTAGATTTGGCAACCTGATGGTTATGACATGAAGAGCTACTGACGTCACGTACAGTGAGGGCGAAGAGTTTCATGACTTCGGCAGGAGTGAGTCATTGGAGTAATTAAGTCTTTTGAAAGTGTGCATTTCACTTACTTTGAGTAAAGTTGAACATCTTTTCATTTGTATATCTTCTGTGCATTGTTTTTTATCCATTTTCATGTTAGACTTGTGATGGTATTTTTTTCTTAATTTATAAGAGTTTTTTGTAAATCAGGAAGATTGTCCCATTAGTCATAACATAAATTTCAAATATTTTCTGTTTGTCATTTGTCTTTTGACTTTGCTTTTGGTATTTTTTGACCATGTGCAAGTTTTATTTTATTATTTACTTTGACAAAACTGAAGAGTTCTATGAAAAAAAGAAAAATACACACAAAACACCCACATAAAAATCAAAGTGCCACACTATCTTACTTTATAGCATGGAGCCCTGGTGTGGCATTGTGTGTTAATGCACTGGACTGCATGGTCAGTTTGAACCACAAGGTCGGCGGTTCAAACTCACCAGCCACTCCTTGGAAAGTCTATGTAAGGCCCATATGAGCCAGAAGCAATTCAGCAGCACTTAACAATAATAATCATACTTGAAGAGGTGCAAAATAGATACAAAAAAAGCTTATACATTTTTTAAATTGTGACCATAAAGGTCTCTGCGGCTTACATTCGTGGGGTGTTTTCTGTGGACAATTTTGGTGTGTTTTTTTTTTTTTTTTCATGTGTATGTGTTTTTCTGGTTACCAGTGAAATTATGATTCTTATGTTGCTTTTGGATTTTGAATCACGGTTAGAAATATTTTCTCACACCTGCGCGTTATAATGAATCCACCAAGTTCCTTTCAAGTACTTGTATGATTTCATTTTCTTTTAACATTAAAACACTATTTGGAGTTTATTATGGTATATGGCGGGATAAGGTGAGTTTTTTCCAAATGACTTTTATTGATTGTAAGACCATTCCTTGAGATACCACTTTTGTAATATAAAAACGTCCATCAATTTCTCGCCTTTCTTTTCTGCTCCTTTGGTTTACCTCTCCAGAATCGAATGTTTATTTATCCACTCAGCAACCCGTTGTTGAAAGCTAGGGGTTGGTTATGATAGTAAGAAAGACATTTGGAGAAATTTGGGAGTAAGAAAATAAACAGATTAACAGATGAGTAAGTAAATGAAAACCTAATTCTAATCCATAAATGTATTATCAACATGCAGCACAGATTGTGGGATAGAGAGTAATGTATCAGGCTGATACATTAAAGAGTGAGTTTTAAGCTGAGATCTGCAGGATGAGAAGAGTATTTATATACATAGAGCCCAGGACAGGATTACCTGGTGAGCATTCTGAGATGAAAAGAGCCTAGGTTTATTCTAGATGCTCAAAGGAAGCCTGTGATTTATCCACAGGGAAGGAAGAGGAGTGTGCTCAAGAGAACTTGGCATTGCTTTTGGTTGAGGCAGAGTGACAACAAAAATAAGAGGGACCTTTTTTCCTCTTGAAAGCCGTGGCAGTGACTTTGGAATTTATTTGGAGTACAGTAGAGAGGCAGGAAAAGGGTTAAGCAAGGATTTTTATTTTGATGAGCATCAGTATCATTTGTTGGAAAGTTTAAAATTTTAAACGCATTCTTTATATGAAATGCTCAGAATAGGCAAATTCATAGACAGAAAGCAGACTAGTGGTTTCTAGGGGCTGGGAGGAGCTGGGGATTGGAAGGCAGTGCATAAAAGATATAGGGTTTCTGTTTGGATTCTAAAATGTTCTGGAACCAGATAGCAGTAATGGTTGCGCAGCTTTGTGAATGTACTAGAAGAGCCCGTTACTCAGCTTTCAAAAAGCCTGATACTGTACGTCTGTGTATGTTGTATGAATTAAAACTATTCATATAATTGTTATATGAACTTTACCTCAATTTAAATATATGTATGTGTGTGTGTGTGTGAGTCCTAGTGTGGTGGTTTAGGATAAGCGCTGTACCCCAAGGTCAGTTTGAACAGCAAAGCTGGTAGTTCAAACCCACCATTTGCTCCTCAGAAACCCTGTACAGAGTCGCTATGAGGTGGAACCAACTCGATGGCACTTAACAATAACAATATATCTATATATATAACTATATATATATAACTAAGGAGCTCTGGTAGCGTAGTGGTTACGAATCAGGCTGCGAACCTTAAGGTCAGCGGTTCGAAACTACCAGCTGCTCCGCGGGAGAA